GTCAAAAAATTGATCTGATCAAAAACAATTAAAACTATATACAATAAAGAATAAATACCTTATTTACAAATCTCTCAAAACAAAATAATTTTGTACTATCTTTTTGTATTTTTCTGATGCAAAAAAACCCATTAAAATTACACTTGGTTCAGACAAGAAACACACAAATTTGACAATCCATGGTTATTTTCAGTTAATATACAATTACTAGTAACTACTAAATAGCCTATCACCATTTAATGAGGTGCTTTTAACACCGTTAGTCATCTAAAATATTGACATGATTCTACACCAGTCTTGTGTAACACTAATAATATAATAGTTACATCTACCAGAATTTTTTGCAGGGTTTACACGAGAAATTCTTCTCAAGAAACCAAAGAGGCCATCTTACTTTCCACTTAAACATTTTACCCGAAGCCGATTGGAAGACCTGATCCAAGTTTTCTTGAAATTGTGTAAACATCCGCAAAAAATTCAAAACTCTATTGAGTGCAGCCTTTAGATCATATAGTAAAAATCTTAAATATTTGTTACATTTTCATATTGGAAGTGAATAATGATTTTATTCTATTCTTTTGATACCTATGAGAAAAAACTTTGTTTAATTAATGCAAAACATAATTAACTACAACCCTCATAAGCGCTTTTCTATATATGGTAACTAATATATAAATATAAGACCAACCCAATTTTATATACAAACGAATTATCCAAAGTGCAAGTAGTCAAAATCATATTTTTGCCATCGTACGGATATTTTGAGGCGAAGGGAGATCTATGATTACATTTAACATTATGAGGTAAAGTTCCGTTATTATTGTGCTTAATATTTTGATATTTCAACATACAATGTGTTCGAATAAGTTCAAAATGCACTTTTGACATTTTGGTGCATTTACTTCTTAAATTTAATGATACAGATTTAGTGATTGTAACAGTTTTCGAACGAACTTTCAAGAATATTGAACCAAGGAAAGCAGAAGAACGAGATATTATGCACTATTCATTTTAATTGTTACCCACAACGATGACAAGTGGAGTTGACACACTGAACGTGAAAAAGGATGAATCAATAGAAAACAGTTATATTTAGTTTCTGTTCACATTTGCGAAACATAAAATGGCTCACAATGAAAATTTATTCCACCAAGACATAAACTTTTCAAACTGTGAAAGAAATTTATTATCGGTCAAAATTTCATAGCAAAAGTGAATTTTCAATTACAATTGATTTTTAATACATCATTTCAATTAAAACAGAGAAGGACCAACTTCCAGCAATATTAAGAAACAAGAGACTAAAAAAATCCGTAAAAGCTATTTACCTAAATTCAAATAAAGTTCCATAACTAGCTCACTTGAAAGTGGTACACAGTTTTCACGCAAAAGATAAAATATAATGAACAAATCTTGTTGAAATTTAACGCTGTGAGGTAGAATTGTATTCCAAATTAATATTCTTCATTGAAATGGACAATAACTGAAAACAAGTAAATATAAAATAAATTTTCAACTGTAACGCTGTATAAATACAGTTAATTCATGAAATTGCAAAACTATGTATGCATACTTTCTATTAAATATTGTGAATGTCGATTAAAAACTATATAGAAAAGGTAAATTGAAACTGTGTAAACTGCCATTGTTAAAACTATGAACGCTACACAGTTTCATCAAAACTGTGCCTAGGGAAAATTTATTTACGAGAACTGATCCAAAGGCAATTAACAAAAATAATAAGAAAATATTTATAAACGCAACTGTTGAATATACAAACAAATCAACACGTTCAATGTATCGAACCCAGCAAAAGCAATTATGTAATAACGCAAGCTATATGTAATACTGAGGTGAAAGCAAATGAAACCACGTGTTACTGCAAAGGCTATCGGAGAGCAAAGAAATATAATGTACAACTAATACGTCAATATAATAAATTTTGGCAACTACGCTAATTCGCTGTTTATTATTTTTCATGTTAAATATCTATATGAAACCCTGTGCATTATCTGAAATTAGAGCTAAAGGTCCAAATAATATATGCTCGAATGACCCTCGAGACTAAAATACTAATATTTGTCTTAATAAGGCGGTTATAATATTTTAAAAACTAGTTAAAGCAAGGGGTCTCCGTATTTAGCCGAATGAATGTTTCGTTTCTCACCACAAACAGCCTAAACGACTGAATTTGAATGGATTACAAAAATAGATAAACTGCAACATTTTCGAAATATTTCGAACCGGCATCAATATTCATTCAGAAAAATAGGAGCACCATCGAAGGAAATTATATACAAAAGAAAATTTTGATGATCACAGCAAGAAAAACGATATTAAAAAAATATGTACAAAATTTGTTGAATGGGTTAAAACTGTGTGCAACAGAACTAACATATTAAAAAGACTGTACATCAACATGCAGTTTTATAATATTATTCAAATACTTGGACAGCTTCTTTTCAAGAGAATCCCTAGAAATAGCGAGAAAACACCTGATTATTATTTGTATTATCATAATATTCAATTACCCAAATACTATCCTACACAATCCAAAAATATTTTGTTACATCTACCATATATCTAACTCTCTATCTACGAGTTCAAGGTTTGAAATACCTTCTATCTAATTGAAACTTTTTGGAAATTTTGTTAATTTTTCACACCAATTTCAAAATGTTCATCAATTCAACATCAAAACAATTAAAATACTAGCTCCTCTTCCGCTGACCACTTCTTAAAAAAATATGTTAATTTTACAATAAAGTTTTTGGCACTAAAATTTTCAAGTATGAAGAATCATGTACTGTTTTTTGGTATTTTGCTAAACTGTCAACATTTTTGTAAGATGTTAGTTTAAATTTTGAGGAGAAATCATTCTTGGGTAATAGTAAAAGTATTGATAGACCAGAGAATAGTCAAAACATATTTTCATATGCAAGAAAACAATACGATTAAAAGAATTTGATAACCAATGTTTATACTTTAGATTTCAGTCCTTACAAAATTTTTCATGAAGTATAATTTTCTCCCTAAAATCACTAATAAAATAGTTTTCCATGTGGTTCCAAACATACCGTATGTAAGTCTTCATTAGAACAGTACAATGGTTTTTTATCAGTCTATTTGAGCCAAAATTATGAAAATATGCTAGAAACTCAAATTCTTGAAAATGAAAAACATTCACAAAGTAATAAAATCGAAAACAAAATTTAATGAAAAAAAAACTATTTTTTTTTTATCATCTTTTTAAGTTTGTACATATTGTGACTTGAAAATGTTTGCCATTAATAATGCCACAGACTAAAACAAAAAATCGTACCCAACCAAAAATAAATAACAGATCATTGTTAAAAATGAAATCTACATACTTTCAACTGAAGCAGCATTCCAGTCAGAGACATTGAATAAGCTTTACTTCGAAATCCAAGCTTGGAGCATCGATTCTAATTTAAATACTAACATGTAAAAATATACTTGAACATTGGTGTTAAATAATCGACAATTATTCCACATTTTAGGCATTACGTAGTATGTAATATATACAATAAAAATGATCATTTCTGTTCAATATCACAACTATATATTCCACGACTCTAGTGACGCAAAAATCCCTGTTGAAAAACATTCAAAGACGAAAAGTGCAGAGTTTTTGTTGTTACGTCAAACATAGAGTGTACGAAAGATTATTACATTTACAGGCACATCAAATATTTCAAAACGCTAGATTTTATATTCGTACATTAAAAAACTACCCAAACCCCAAACGGCAGTCGGAGGAACCTTGAGGCACACTCCGACTAGCCTACTTGAACACTCCGTTAGTTAAATTTTCACCGTTTCCTATATACATGTAAGTAGCCTAACTGAGATGGAGAACGGAACACTACTACAAGATTTCGGCAAATTTTAACTGAAGCCAGTATTCAACAGAATGATAAATTATGAGGCGAGTCATTATTCGACTATTTCATCAAATATTTTAAAATGAATTACTCTCAAATAACTAAATAGCCTTCTGCAAGTACAAAACTAAAAAAAAAAATGCTGAATTACGAAACAAGTCATGAATGTCTGGTTATTAACTTGACAAGTCGAAATTTGACTATTTCAGACAGGATTACTTTCACACAAGAATTTAACTAAATAGCTAACTGCAAAATTAAAATTCGAGGCAAGTTGTAAATGACTGATTATCAACTTGAAATATCAAAATTTGACTATTTTATCAGGTATCTTTGAATGAATTACTTTTAGATAAAAATTCAACCAAGCAGCGACTTTCAAGCTACATAAAAATATAATTTTTCGTTTACAAGTTCAAAACATATGTTATTCAATTTGTACGTAAATATCTGACTATTTTATCAGATATCTTTGAATTAAATTCAAACATAAATTTTAAATGCAATTAAAAGTTGAAGTATAATTTAATTTACTACATACAGAAATTATTTTACTTTATATACTTTAAAATCATCATGGCTGTTTTTGAATATCTTGCTTTTCAACAAAAAATCATTCAAAGACTGAATATTGATTCAATATTAAGTTGATATATACTTGAAGACGTACTTGTAACAATTTAGAGTAAATACCGAGAATAAGTCAAAATTCACCGAAAGTGAAGAATATTTCAACAGATTTGCAGTGACTGTCTCATGCTCTCCCTTTCCTTCATCTCAGAAAATAAATCAACATTAACAACTGACTGACTGATTCGTTAACGAGACGAACTGCATCAATTACAAATAAAAATAATTTCAAGCTTTAAAACAAGCCTATACTATTAAATATCAACATAAGCAATCTCCAATCCTTGAGTGGAGAAAAAACCTATACACATTAATCAAGAACATCATAAAATCAATATACAACAAAATGCAACATGTTACCCACCGAAGATGGGAGAAACGTTTGCTTTTACACACATTGTCACAGGATTCTTCAAAATAAGCAATTATTAAAAAACAATACACTGAAGGATCGCCGAAGCAATATTATAACAAATTCAAAACTGTTCAACCTAAAATTTGATGAATATACCAAACCACGCGTTCCGTAATAGAGCGTTTCTATGTTTTTGTAAACATTTTTGCAAGAAAAAAAAACAAGAACATGGTAAATGAATGAATGATCCAATGCATAAAGTTGACAAACTATCAATTTATTTTTAGTTGTGGAGAATACAATAACAAATTTCTCGATTTTATTACCAATCAATAATTTCAATAACCAAAACCACATTTTTTTCAATGTAATTTCATCAAAACCGGAAAAAACAATTTTTAGATAAATAAACAAAAATCAAGCAATGAAATATGCTGATTGTTTCAGAAAACTTCTTTTTTTCAAGAATTGCATGCATACAAATTATCCAGACCTGAATACAGATTACATCCAAATTTTGAGTTTATTAAAAATTTGTTAAAAACATGAATTTTCAAATCCGAAGACTGTATTCTACATTTAAGAGGACTGCAAATTTTATGCACGACCTTTCATATTTTCATCCAACCTTGAATAATCATACTTTCAAAAGTGAACATTAGAGATTCTTTTCTTCCAAAAATGTATACAACACGGCAATCCGTAATCAGAAAAGCTCTACTTCCGGGTTTCCCCCAGTCGTCAACACAACACCTACTTAATATCTCTCATACTGAACATACAAAACTAATCGTTGCAACTAAAACATTACTCGTTACAAATAACCATACGAATGTACGGGAACAACATAAACTAACACGTAAATTATTTTTTATTCGGCGAACCAAAGACTCGCCGGCTGGTATTGGTGACTCTTTGCTGGACTCAATGGAGCGAAGCCATAAGAGGCTGCAGCAACTTGGGCGTGCGACGGAAACTGCAAGTGGGCCGGTAGCGGGTGACTGGCATGACTGGCCAGTACGGGCCTGGCGCTGGAATGATGGGCTGGAGGCGGAGGTAAGGCCCGGCTGCAGAGAAAATATATGTTTTAGATTCACTTGGGTAATCAACATATATTTGAGGTTTTTAACTGACTGAAGTACTCAGTTTGGAAAACACTAAATCTTGCAAAATTTTCTGATGAATCAATAAACCAAAAAATTTAGATCGAAAATCAAATCGATTCATAAACTTGAATACTGTTTGCGCTATGATTTCATATTATTAGGTTGTACTGAAAGTTTTGTCAGTTTTAATGTCATATGTTTATGACATAGTTGATTTCGTGTATTGGAACTGCAAATAAGTTTTTCTGGAACCTTAGCGGTATTTGGAAAGGGAATTAATTTGAACTTTTCTGCCTGGTCTAGAAACTTATTCGTATTTTCAACGCAATCTGTCATACAACCGATCAACTGGGAATAAAACATTTTTAACCCGAATTATTCTGCTTGGTGTACGAACTTATTTTTCCCACCCCACCTCATCTGTCACTCCATATATCAATAAATATTTATTCTACTGTGTAGAACAATACTGAACAATAGAGAATATTGTACTCTATGCATTGATGCTGTTATTTTTCTCCAAATTTTAATTTTTTGTCTCTTTTCAGATTATATTATACAGTGCATTTCTTTATTCCCCCCCATTTTATTTTTTGAACAAGTCAACTAAAAAAATTGAAATTTGGGATTATGAAATTAATGCATAAATACTTTATTTTGAAGTGAAATTGACAGATGAAACTTTCAAGATGGCGAGAGGGCACCATCTGAAAAATCAAATGGAAAGGGGATATTGTGATACATCATTTTGATCGACTGTATTGCCAAATATGCGCCAAACTAACTGACTTTTAAAAAATTGATGGATGAAAAGAGAAATGAAGATTTCTATGAATTTTACCATTTTTATTTGTAACTAACGTTACTGCAGTTGCGTCCTATATGGACATTCTCAAACTTGAACAATAAACTAACAATGATTCATTACATTCGCTAATATATACCATTCAGGTACTTGATTGAGTACCTGAATTTACAGTTCACAATGCGCATGTACCAATTTAAAAACCGGAGAGTAAATTAAATCGATTTGGTCATTTACCAGGTTGTACCCGCAATGTTTATGCTTGTGAATTTCCAAGGATTCTGAATAATTGAGTTTGCAACCCTTCCTTGCATAGTGCAGAATTTCCGTATCGCTTAGATTCGGAAACTTGTGGTTGCATGCCAAGGAATGATTTGAAAACGTCGAATCATTTTTTCCTAGCCTGAAGGACCTTTCATGTTCAGCATACCGTTTTTTGGAAATTTCGTGCGCATTGTCCCACATAAACACTATTACACTCCGGACGCTTGAGCTTATAAACTCCAGATTTTTCCAACTTGTCGACCTTATCAATGCCTACTCAATCAAGTACCTGAATGGTATATATTAGCGAATGTAATGAATCATTGTTAGTTTATTGTTCAAGTTTGAGAATGTCCATATAGGACGAAACTGCAGTAACGTTAGTTACAAATAATAGTGGTAAAAAACATAGAAATTTTCATCTCTCTTCTAACTGACTTTTATAAAAAAACAAGTATAGCTGAGGCATCAGTCAATCTAATAATAACACTGATGATCTTCAAACACGACTCAACCTCTGACGGAAGCACCAAACTCTTACGATGGTTCGAAATAGATGAACACTTCAATTTAGCAGACCCCTATTATAATCTTCATGCAGTCATTGTTCACTGTGGTTCTGGCATTGAATTTTGTCATTATTACGCTTTGGTCAAACACGAAACAGACTGGTTTAAGTACGATAGTTGTGTCATGAAGTGTTTGTTCTGGCAATGTATTGAATTTATTGGAGCCTCTAGAGACACCCTAGATTATGTTTTATGAAAGAGAGAAAATTTGCAGATCAAGATCTTCAGATGATGTGGTGCTGCAGTTTTTTCCTGCAGCTGAAAAAGAAAATGCTCCACTGGAATCAATGAAGTCGATGACAAACAAAAAAAACCATAGAGTGCCTTGGAAATGAAACTAAAATTGTGGAAGTTAGTGTCAAGATACAGTTTTTCATGCTTAATATTTCAATAAAAAAAAATTGAGATTGATTGAAAAATGCACATTCTACAGGGGTGGTTCCATTTTAAATGGGTCACACTGTATATATATGTATATATATTTCCGCCAATAGCCTAATATGCATAACAGTGTGATAAACACATATTTTCTTCCCTCCAAAAAATCAGGGCTGAATTCCTTTACTACCTCGAAAAGAAAAATCACCCAGAAAAAATAAAAAGTGAAAGTCACTTTGAACCTATATTTTTTTGTAAAAATAAAACGAATCTAGCAAAAAATTATGTTTATTGCAAATTATAAACCAGGTACAAGTTACCTGTCAAAACATCGTCAAAACAATTCAAAGCATCTGAAAAAGTTAATTATGAATGAACTCGACTAATATTATAGAAAATATATTAACTAAATTAAAGAAATGTCCAAATTGGGTTTAGTTTTCTTTTCTTAGTAGGCATAGGAACCGCTTCACTAGAACAAACAGAAAAAAAAACGTCAGTTTCTCTGATGATTTTAATCATTTAGCATATGTAAAATATTCAAATTTTTAAATTTCCAGACTTTTTCAAATAGTCGCAAGTCACTGGCCGAATATAATTCAAATATATAAGGACTATTTTATTTGTTAACTGAACCACGAATACTTTGTTAATAGTTTTGGTAAAACCGTCATTAACTAAATGGTACATGAATATATCAAAAAATCTCAAAGGTGTGTTTTGCGAATTTTATAAAATTTTTGTTTCAATTTCAATTCTGAAAATGAACAAATTACACAACTTGAATATTGTATCATGTAGATAGAGACATGATTCACTGAAGGGCTATTTTTATGAATGAAATTGCCATTTTCACCCAAAAAATTGTTTTCTGAAAATGCTTAGAAACAACCCAAATTCAAGTGGTACAAGTACAATAAAACTTTAATAAAGTATATAAACATAATAATTTTAATTTTTATTAGCCATTGAAGCAAGGGAACAATGTGATTTTTCTCAATTATGAGTTTCAGTGTTTAAAAAGCCATAAACAGTAAACAGGATAGTAGTAATGGTCATAAATATTAACAAAATGACTTGTGATTCATAAATTTTCAAGGGATTTTCCAAATATTCAGCTCACAATGATATCCTCCTACTCAGCTTCAGGCATGGAATAAATACTAGTTATAATAGAAAGCACATTTTAAAATAATTAAATTTCAAAATCACTTTCAAAGGTTATTATTCCATTTCTTCAACCAATTGATTTTACATTAAAATCATTTGTCTATGTATAACAAGTTTGCACATATCGACTTTCTTGTCGATTATAACAAAAATGCAACAGTAAAGTTCTTCCGCCTTATTTTATATCGTTGAAAATGGGAGCGGTAGAGCCAAAAAACGAAATTCGACAATTCCAGTTTTTGGGGCATATATCGAAAACAACCACAGATATTCTCGATCTGAAAGGAGATTATCCTAGTTACCCATAATAGGAAACTTTGTCCAAGAACCGATCTTGTAGGTCTTGCCATTTCTGATATAATAATAGTTTGATCAGCAAAAAAACAGCCTGTAAAGTAGTTTTATAGTCCGAGAGAATGAGAACATGTTTTGTTTATTGAAAATATAACTGGTCTACGTCAGTTGTACTCTTAGCTAGGAAACATACAATTTAAAGAAAAAAATTGATTTTCACATTTTCAATGGTTATTATTTCTATGATTTTTTGAACAAACTTCAATTGAAAAAACGATAAATTAATAATTTATTTCAGCACTTTTATTTTTGAACACTTCGTAAAAATTCATTACAAAGTACAGTTTGACTTATATGTTACCATTTTTTCATATTTTCAAATAATCCAACATAAAAAAATAACAGTTTTATTAAACAAAAACTGAAATTGCAAGGAAATAACATACAAGCAACAACCAAAAAATGAAAAAATTCAAATATTAATACGAGCTGAATATCAAAAAATTATTATTAACAAGAAATAAAAAATAAAAATCAAAAGGATTCCAAACCAAGTTACGTCACGACGTTTCGTTTGTTAGTATCCACATTCGTCTTCGGGTGATAACTGTCAACCACCTTCAAACAAACGTTAAGTAACCAATCTGTTCACTTTCAGACACGAAAGCTTCACACCAAAGTCATTCCTAACCTAAAAGCTCACCACACCACTTAAAATTACTTCTGACTTACCCAGCTGGCGCCACTTGGTGAGTGGCGGGTATGTACGCGGGTTGCGTCGTCGTCACGTACACAGGCCGACGGTACAGCTCCGTCTGGTGGTACAACGGCTGACCAGCAGCAGCTAAGGTATGCTGGGGGGAAAGCCGAGGTGCGCCCGCCAAAGGTTGTGGCGACAGGTGCGTCTGACTATGTCTACAATTACGAATAATAGTGCCGTTTAGACATGCACTTATTGTCAATTTCATTATTGCTAATACTATTACAATTCACACACTACGTTTAAATAAGCTAACCCTATTTTCCAACATAACAAATAATTTATCTCGAAAACTTATTCAACTGTCGACTGAAATATTGCCTATATAGAACAATTGAGGAAGAATTGTTAGAGTTGCTTTGTATCACCAGTCTATGGGACATTTTTCAATACATTGATAACAATTCAGTTACGAGTATTTTTTGGGAAAATCAACAATGAGGATTGAATACAACGAAATAATACTATTCTGAGAATTATGAAAAACTAGTGGAGGTTATTTGATGGATTATAGATATCAGCAAGGGGAGAGACATAGTTCCCTTTCCTCTTATATAGATTTTTTTTTGAAAAAGAACATTACAAATCAGAGCAAACGGATGATAAACGAAACAAGAAATGGTATTTGTAATGTACTGTGCTAATAAAAATTTAGATCTATTAGATCAATAAAGACTAGCTACACTTCGAGCATTGATTACTAATAATAATTTCTATCACTATCCAGGTTTTCCTTGGATTCAATCTTATAAATAGGCAGACTGCCCCATCAAAATGAGTGGCCATTAATTGCGTCAAAATATATTTTGCAATATATTTAGTATTCGACCTGATAGTATTTAGGTTGCCGAATATCCATTTCATCTCTAATTATTATATCTGTGCTAATACCATAGCAATTTCTATCTCTAGCCAATACCACACTTGACTTAATCAAGTCATTCAAAGGCATCGAGAACTTATTTATAGTCATGACAATATATTTTCCCCAAGTTTTCTTCGGATCAATATCTTATAATTAGGACTACCTGCTGAATCAAAGGTCGCTGAGGTGAATCTGTCGAACTGTATATTATTGTATCTATCCTAATGGCACAGCAATTTGTATCTCTAGCCGATACTAAACACAGATCACGCTGCTATTCAAAGGTTTTGAGAACTTATATTTTTTCTAAGTTTTCTGTGGATTCAATATCTTATAAATAGGCAGAATGCCTGCTTCATCAAAATGAATAGCAAGGTAGTTAAGGTGGTGATTCTAGCCTCGAAGGAAATAGGCGAAGCCCTCGAACTTTGGCTCTGTGTTTACAGGGGCCTGACAAATCACAAAACTCAAAATTTGTAACAAAACTGATCAATAAACGTTTTTCATTCACTCTTGGACGAAGCTCCAAGAACGAACTACTTCCAGACATACTTATTTACTTCAACAGCAAACATTCTCTACGTTCACATACCTGTAGTTCGGGTGCATGCCCTGCGGTGGCCCCCAACTTTTGCCGGGCGCCAGCAGGTGCTGCTCGCGCGCTATTGTGAGGCCGTCCCTCGTCGAGTGAGCCGCAGGCGGTTGGATGTAATCGTTGTGCGACTGCGCCGGCACCGAATATTCCTGCAGGCTGACGACTGGTACGGCCGAGTGCCGCCTCGACGAGTGACTGCTCGAAGTGTTGTGAGCAGCAGGAGGCGGCGGCGGCGGGCCCCACGAGACACGTTTGTCGTTGGACGAATAGTTCTGCTGATGATGGTCGTGGTTGACGTATTGGTAGGCCTGAAAAATTATATTTTCAATACACTACATTCTTTTAGTTTGATTCGATTGATACTTGATGGATATCCATAATTACTAGGAATTAATGAACACTTGTTTTTTAAATATTCACGATATATAGGACGCGTTTCGCTATTCCTATAGCTTTCTGTAAGCTTCGCCTATTTTGTTTGAGAAAGCTTTCTTTCGCTTATTTTGTTTGAGAAAGCTGTAGGAATAGTGAAACATCACATATTATAAGCAGTAATATATTGTGGATATTTTAAAAACAGTGTTTTTTCATTCAATTCAAAAACAGTGTTTTTTCATTCAATTCCCAGTATATTCATTTACGTGGGATTCGAGTGAAGGGTGGATCATATGGATCAAGAACCCCCCTCCAAAGGAAAATAACAAAGTAAATGTAAAACATTAATTAAAATTTGATAATTTGACACAGAAATACGAAGCTAGCTAGCACGTTGAACAGATCAATCTTCTGAGACAGTTTGTTGCCTGTTATTTTCATTTTATTGAGTGAGGATAGATGCAAGTCATTTGTTGAGCACAAAGCGTTCAAAAATGTCTCGGCATTGCGAGTATTCCAAGCAATTTTTTCAAATAGTTCTGAACAGTAAATATCACCATGTATATTGTCACATGCTACCCTCTTATGCAGTAATAACTGTGTGAAAAATAAATCCTCACCTGTGGGATTTCCTTACATGCCGAACCGCACTGTTGGAGGTAGTTGTAATCTGTCGGTTCTTGCTTCGTCGGCACGTTCAACATACATTCGGACTGAGCCTTCGCCAAAAGTCTCTTCTTCTGTGATATCGAAGCGTAGTTTGTGCTACTGTGGCTGCTGCTTTGGCTCTGACATGGTTCGTTCTTGATCACCTGGTTGTAAATGTTGCCGCTACTTTGGTTGTGCACATTCTGAAATACAAATGAATTGTCAGTTGATAGAATATTCTAGAATAGCAGTAACTGATTCGAGATGAAAATTATGAAAAGTTATTCAATCTTTATTCAACACACACTGAATAAAAACAAGATACAATTTGAAGAATAGGCGGATCGGTGTGAGCTGATTTTCAACTCAGCCGAAAGTTTCAAACGAATAGAAATATTGTATTCGTTTCAAAATGTTCGTATTGGACGAAATTACAATAACGTTAGTTACAGAACATAAGAAGTTTTATTTCTCAATTTTCATGATAAATGAATTTTTATTATTTAAACTTTTCAGGGTAAAAATGTGGCGCCCAAAGCGGGGTCAATTTAACACCTGGTGGATTGGAGCAAGTAACCATTGTTGAATGTAAGTAGTAATAATTCGTAAAGGTACCGAGTAGTTAACTGAGAAAACATACAACTTTTTTCAGGTTGTCGCGGCTTTGCCGTCAATATCAAGTCGCAAACCTTGTCAAAAGGCAAAGAGGACATTACCTTTGCCGAGTTGCCAGAGCTCCTCTCCTCATTGTCGCTGTCTTGCACGCTCACGCAGCTGATGACATTCTTTCTTAGGGCAGCAGTCAGAGGCGGCTGCTGCGGTTGGGGCGGGTTAGTGCTGGTGTGGATGGATTTCTTGCCGGGCAAACCTTCGTCTTCGCTGTCCGAGATCGTGATGACCGAAACAGCTGGCGAGGGGGTGTCATTTATCGTTATTGTATGCTGCTTGCCGTGGTGGTGGTGGTGATGATGGTGATGGACAGTCTGCGTGTGGTGATCGTGGGAGATTACCTGCAATGAAAAACATGTGTAAATTGAGTACTCTTCATTAGGAAAATGATTTTGTTCAAGATGATTCATAAAATATATTCTTTTCAAGATATTCCAGTTCTACACGGTAGCTTTATTATTGTAGCATTCTGTAGTGATTTAGTACTAACCGGTTGATGTGACGGATGCTGCCACTGCGTGTTCGGACTATGATTCCTCCTGTTGCTGGTGTAGTTGATTTGCTCTGATGGAGGGGTTCCTTCTTTGACCCGTTTCTTAACAGGACTGAGCTGCGTCTGTTCTTTCTTGTCATGCTGAGATCTATGATGAGTAGGAACCTGAACAAAACTATCGTTAGCACCACACGTACATCCACAAGGACTACTGCTCACCATTAAGTGATGGTGATTATGATGATGGGAATTCGACTGTTGGCCATGATGATTCTTCGAACTTCTTTTACTTGAACCCCAGGAACTGCTTGAATGTTCCACTATTGTCGGATTGTACACTTCAGTGGCGACATCTACCGGAAAGACAGGACGTTGCTCTTGCAGGATAGCAGAGGAATCGACAAGTAGCGGCCTGCCCCATTCAGCCTCGGAAAGCAGCGGTTGTTGGATGGCTGCATGCTGTGGGGGGATCTGCTGCCATGATGGAACTATCGCCATCTGTTGCCGACTGGTCGGCCAAGATGTTTGCACAGCGTTCTTGAAAAGAAATGAGAAAAAATCATTTAAGGACACACCTGACACAAAATATTTCATTTTCTCAAAATAAAAATTAGACAAGATACTACAAACATACTACAATTGCTATCTCTAAAATGTTTTTGAAATCTATGCAAAACTGGAACATGAGATTCTTGTAAACGACCTTCTATGAAGGAAAAATGCCGACTCCTGCAAGTATTTCAAGATCTATTCAAGATTTGTAATAAACATAATTAAGAAGGGTTTCACCTTCACTTCACTGATGAAGATCAAATAAAAATTTACTTCTTTCATTCAGTCAGAGAAACTCACATTAAAAAAGCTATAAAATCATATTCCTTTGGAATTTAAAAATGCCATCTCATATAGGGGATTCAGAAAAATTTGTTCAAAAGGTTTTATAGGAAAAAGCATACTAAATACTTTGGGAATTTCAAAATTTCAACTCTCATATATTCTCAACTAGAAAAAAAAATTTTCATGGCCATATTTTGAAAAGTTTGTTGTTTCTAGTTTTTAGGCTGTTGTGAGTGGCAGGCATCTTCAACGTTGTGTTACTGCTTCCAAGAAGCCAAGAAGTGTACTTTCAAGATCAGTAGCAACAACACAGACCTCTGAAAATGCAATAAAACGCGTCGATAAAACATTATAACCTTACTTTATTAAAAGTTTTGATGTTCTTGGAAAATAAAAGATGTTCACCTATACAAAAATTCTGTAAGTATTACCAGAGACAGGGAAGACCAACGCAAAACATTCACAAACATGAGAAGCATCTGACAAGAGAGGTGACAGTTCTTAGTCATCTCCTGGTGATGCTAACTAGACTTGCGAAAAGCACGCAGCATTTTTGTTCCAGTTTCGAAATCTTCTTATCAAATTGGGAAGATGAAATATGGCGTAAAAAGAATTGTTTGATAGTAATTCTGTTAGAGTTACTATGCTAGCATTGATCTATAAGAAGACATTTTTGCCGAAGACACACAACTTAATTATTGGCTTAACGTACTTACAGTCAATAACATTTGTCGCCCAGTAGGCTCCACAACACTGACTGGAACATACTGCTGTTGGCCAGGTTGGCTCAATATCGGAGGCTGGATCTGGAGCTGTTGCTGTTGAACGACTGTCACGTGCTTTGCTGGAGATCCACCCATGCCCTGATACCCAGCAGGACACAGTATGCTAGACACCAGCTGGTGCTGGAAGGGATCAGCTCTACTGCTGGTAGCATACTGCCTTCCAACTGTTCTGCCATTGTAGATTTGATACTAAGGAAAGGAGAATAGAGTTCAAGAAGACAAATAAACCTTCAACTATACATTGCAACAAACTGATGAGCATGCTACTAGAATTTAAGGATGAAAATATCAAAATGCTAAAAAAATTGAATCTCTCAAAAGACCAGACTTCTTTCACTCATTAAAAATACTACTTACCAAATTGTCATAACCAGACCTATCCCTCACCAGCCTTTGTACTTGGTTGGTCAGCTGATTGTTGATTGTGAACGTCACATTACCGTTCGAGCTCGGTACAAAATTGGCGACCAAAGATGGGGCTTGCTGCGTCTGTTGATGGTGTGAATTTGTACTGGTGTTGTAATCGGTTCGGCGGCACACCTGCGAAAAATCCTGGTGATACAAACAACTAATCATAAGAAATATCACTCCAAGACTTACCTCCATCATTTGGACGCTGGCCTTGACATTATTGCAGTGCGCATACTCAATCAGGTGTGTCAGTCGGACAAACTGATGATTGAGAGCCTCTCCCGGAGTTATCCTCCTTTCCTGAAATTGAACAAGGTTCAAACATTGCCGTAAACATCATTCATCAAAATATATACTACCAAAAACCAAACAAATTGTATATAATAGAATAATATATTGCTACCTGGTCCATCGTCAGCATCCTCTTCAGCAGATCTATAAACTCTTTCCTGTCGACCTTTTCTGCCAAGAGCTGGCCCCCTTCCAGATCGGTAGGAACGTTCACCTGTCCAATGTCGTCCAGACAATTGAAAATGTACTTCCTGGCCTCCTTTGACTTTATCCCTGTTTCGGCTTCATGTTCTTCTGGAGTTTTCAACCTCCAGAAGGGATATGTGCTGTCCATATCTCGATAGAAGAATTTAGTGGTTTTAGACGCGTGACTGAGCATGTTCTCTGTCGGTAGACCTTGGGTCTGACTGATGTAACGGATCTGGTCGTATTCTGATGATCCAGGATACAGTGGCCAGCCCAAAAAGAGTTCTGCTACAACACACCCAAGCGACCACATGTCGATCGCTTCACAGAAAGGCAGGCCCAAGATGATTTCGGGCGCCCTGTAGTACCGAGACTGAAGATATGTGTTGCATACTGCTTTGCTGACATGACTAGCGCTGCCAAAGTCGATAACTTTGACACGGTACGGTTGCCGAACGGGATCGACGAGCATTATATTCTCTGGCTTTAAATCGGCGTGAATGAGACCTAATTGCTGAAAAAAACAAATCAGAAGTAAGTAAAATTAACAGATCCCACCTTTTTTACTGAATCCAAAGAAAACCAAGATAAGTTACAGAAAAATCTATTTATAAAGATAAAAATATTAAAACTTAGTGTCAGGTTAGCGAAATAAAAAAGTCTCCTCTCACACCATACTGAATGATCTGAAGAGAAATCAAGACAAGTTTTAGGGTTTATAGAACTATCTATTGAAAATAATAAAAATTGGCAGGTTGGCAAATTAAAGAGATCCGATATCTGACACCATATAAAATTATCCAGTGACAAAACAATATAAAGGAAAAAAAAAGATGAGCAAGGCTCAGTTCTGATACTATAGCAGTACTGATACTGTGCTAGTAAATCATCAGGAAGAAATTCCAATCTTCAGCAGATCTCAATCCCGACAAAAGATACTAATGTAGAGGTCAACACTGTTAACAAGTGCGATGAGGGTTTTTATAGCAAAGACAAAATACTACAATAGAAACAAACATATCAGATATTTGACGGTAACACAAACATCAAATAACGCACTTTGAATCTGGGGAATCTAGCTCGGCTATTAGCAAAGATTTTTCAGTAAGAAATTGGGAAAATTCATTTCAGAATGTGGTTTGAGAGAGAAAAGACCGTAGAAAGAGAATCCATTAGCTGTCCTTCAATGAACTGTACAATTCTTTTATAAATGCTGCTGAAATCAATTCATAATTATATTCTTTATAAAACAGGCATGAAAAAAGCAATGTTCATTTGAATTTATTAAGCATTTTGACCAATTAGCTAGTAGATTCTTACAATAATCGGAAATAAAACTCCTGCAGCTATACTGGATGCCAAAAAACTGCGAATGAACGGAAAACACATTTATCAAATTATTGTTGTAAAAAATGTATTTACATTGGAATACAACAATATTTCAATAAATGGTCTTCACTAATAACACCCTTAATCTAAAATAATAGGCAGTGGTCAAAATGGAAACTTCCCCCGATTTTTACTAGAAAATTTAACAAAAAATCCTTATTAGAAAACATGCTTGTATCGTTTAGAACACATCCAATACGATAAAAACTAGTATGAATTGTCAAGAATATCTAGGGAAAGTCCCCAGACAAATGTCTATAATTAAAGATATTCTTTATTCAATAGCAAAATGATATTTCTACCAATTGTTTGAAAGTCCAACAAAACTTGAAAAAATACCTTATGAAAGTAAAGGAAAAAAGTTTCCTCTAAAGTATCAGTTATAGAAAAAATTATAATTTTCATGAGTTGGTTTTGAAACTTTTTCGCAACACGAGAAATGCTTTTCATTTATTAGAGTGAATTTTCAATATGCTTCAAACCTGTCCTGAATTCAAAGAAAAATGAATGACATTCCAAGAACTGACAGCCTATTAAACTGAAGCACTTGTTTTGATTTGGAAAAGGCAGAAGAGGTGACCAATACATAAAAGCATAAATTGTGGAATGGCTCAATTAAATTTTCTAATCGCAGACATCTATAAACACCGATATATCATCCAGATCTGCATTGCTGCATCAGTGACTCACGAATCGTTAAAGCAATGCAAATACATTTATATTTCACTAGAACCTACATTAACGCAGTTGGCCAAATATTTTTCATTCTATTTTGGATGCTGTTCAAAAACAAATGAATTTTTTGGCAAGGCAATTAACCGTTCTATTTCGGTTTCGAATGCTCTAGCAAAAAATCAGCAACACAGGTCAGTAGCACCACATTTTTAGGGTTCTGAAGTAGCAAGTTCTCACTACAGATAGAGCATGAAATGTTGAGAGTTTAGTTAGTATATGGGTTCTAAGGACTTCCAGATGAAATATATAGATAAATCCGAATTTTGCATTGTGCAATATTCTGAAATATCCGCCACATACTTTAGAACAGATAAACTGTTGTTTTGAATTGTTGCCGATGTCCATGTGGATGTGCCAATATGTTTTTTGATAACATTTCTCAAGTTTGTAATTTTTTATACAAACCTAACAATATTGTGGGGATTTTGCTTTTGATTTGTTCAAGAAAATAACTTTTAGATTATTGTGTAACATTCAGCATGAATTTTATAAAAATCAACTAATATTGCCTTTTTTTCACTATATAATGAGGTAATCGGATGATTTGGGTCAGACATTGAACTGTGTCAATTATCAGAAACATTCATTTGAATTATAAAATTGTGGGCTTTTCTCAGTTGGATATTCTTATTTCTTAATTGATATGTAGCTTTTTAAGTTACTGTAAACAATGAAATATTTAGAATAAATTAAGCATAGTTATAGATGTGCTACAAAAGTCCATCCCGAGCCCAATTCTGTTTATCTTCAAGTGATTAATTTAGTTTCCGTTATTACTGGAATTTATTACACAGCTTGAGCTGATGACAGATGACAAAACTTTGAAAGATGCATATGCTTCTGCAGTTGACTAATAGATTATTATCATTTCATTGCTGATAATGTGACACTCAAAATTCAATGAGAATTGGAATGGAGACTTACCTTGAGTTTGAGCAACGCAGTCAGAACCTGCTGCAATATCGGCCTGATGTACTTGAGCGGCAACGGACTGAACTTGTTCTGTTTCAGGAAGTCGTAAAGGTTCTGTTCGAGCATCTCGAACACGAGGCAAGTGTGGTTTTTGTGTTGGAAGCATTCGTACGCCCTGACGAAATTGAATTCGTCCGCATTTTCTTGGCTCAGTCTAGACAGGATACTGACTTCGATTTGACCCTGTAAATTTGAACATCGCAAACATTCTCGAATAACAAAAATAACCATTGTGAGTCATTAATGTTTCAATATTTTAGGTCAACTTTTTCAAATATTAGCCAGTTCATTTTATCAGTGTATTCTTCCATGGAGAGTTAAATACAATTTTGATAATTTCGTTTTGTATGAAAAAATTTCAGAGTTGGACACACTTGAATCGGTGACCAATATGTGGAGAATCAAATGAAAAAATGAAGAGGAAAGTAGCAGAGCGATCTTTCTCAACTTCAGGGCTGGGTAGCCCTGGTCTAATGGAGAGATTAACTGCAGAGTTAGTTCCTCCAATGGATTCTCACCAATCTCTCCAAGAATCAAAGTTAGAATTTCACTTCCTGCAGTAAATGTTTAAAACGTCAGTTAACTGAAGAAGTCACACTGAATGTTTTGGTTTTCGTAAGAAGCTTATGCTTTTCCAAAGAATTCAAATTACTTTTTTGAAACGGTACCGAATGTGTATTCAGGAAAATGGAGGCCATTTTGAACATTTATTTTAGGAAATACCATGCATTTGTACATATTTTTTCCACCTGCAAGGAGCAGAATACTCATAACTTAAATTTTGTTACTCAAAATTTTTGACAATCTTAATAAAAACTGGCTTTTTGAAAAAGTGATATGAGGTATTTTTTTTTAAATAATATACTAAATACTGCACCAATGGTGTGACAAATGAGAGTATGTAATTGTTAAAGAAACTTTTTGTTATTTATCTGTAGCTACAAATTTTGAACAGCCAACTAAATAATTTTTAAAGGATAACTAAAAAGAGCCTGCTTCTAGATAAAAACTGGCTATTTGAAAAAGTGTTAAGTGGCAAAAAATGACTAAATTAACCAATGGTGACAAAACACAAATTTAGTTACAATGCATAGAAAAGTTTGAGGGTTTTAGGAGTTCCATACCCCCATAAAGTTGCTCTTACGATAAGAAAGCCATGGATCCATGGCTTTCTTGAGTAGAGCCTTGAACAATAAAATGTCAATCCCTTTTTTACAGTTGTAGAAGAAGGTACTATCGCCCTTACAAATCAACTGTCACATTTTAAGGAATTGGAAGCAATACCTCCATCAGTGAATTCGCACAACCCTTTTGTGCCCCAAAGATTACCCCTAGGAAATAATCAAGATAACCCCCCTCGAGATGGAAGTGGTTCGTCAATGTGCTAGTAGTACCTACTCTCAGCCACTTAATAGTGCCACATCGGAACCACTTTTAGTGATTTTGAGACTGGATGAAATGATATGAAGCATGTGAAAGAGTGATTTATGTATGTAAAATTAGGGAGAGATTAATAATTTTATATATTATTCGACATTATAAATAATATCAATGTATTTGATATTTGTGTTAGTCACATACTACGTGATCTCTGAAATGCAGCCACCTCCCAAGGTTTGTAAAGTTGAACAAGATGCCTGTATCCCGTTTGCTTATTTTCCTACCGATAGCAAATGAACTCACCTGTCTGGCGTACGAAGGGTGGTTCTTTAATATTTTGATTGCGACAATCTCATTGGTGCCTTTCTTCCAACACTTGACCACTTGGCCAAAGGTGCCCCTTCCAAGAAATTCGAGCACCTCATATTGGTTGGCCATGGAATAGAGCACCTCATGTTGTACCAGTTGATAGTCCCCATCAGCACCGCTTCCAGAACCTGAAAGAAAATCGTTGAATAATGAGAAAATGAGTAGCTCATCTTTATACTATCAACATTTCTGTGAGCAAGACATGAAATACTTTAATGATGAGGCCATTGACCAAAATGTGGTACATATAACAAGAGTTTCTGTTACCTTAACCTTAATTTTACTTCTGAAACTTAAAGGCCACTCAGTTTGCAACTCTCACCAAAAAACAAATAATTTACTTCTATTGCAATACTCACCTTGAGACGTGAAGGACAGGGTTTTAGAATAAATTCCCTTGTAATTTATCACTTTGCAAATAACCACTGTAGAATGTTTTTCTGAGGACAACACAAGCACTACCGGAAAATCTTTAAGGCGCTCTATGAGAGGTGCCTGTGAGAAAGTAGCGATTCATATTGGATTTGAATCGCTGGAGATTACATCCATTTGGAAAAACGTTCTCAGGAAGTTTATTCCACATAAAAGCAGTTCTCTAAGTCCCAGGTATACTAAGTTGAACCTCAAAACGATGTGCCAAGTCACTTGAACAACTCCCGTGAAAGTATCTATAGAAGGGAGACCAATCTCCAACCTTTCTTCGATGTTCCAGACTACCAAGGTTGCAAATGATGTTCCCGTCTCCAATCAGGCGAATGGCTAATTTCTGGATGGAATCCAGCAGCTTCAGGATATGCTTAGGGGCGGAGCTCCATACATGAGAACAATACTCCAAAGAAGGTCTGATCTCAGCTTTATGAAGCATCAAAAGTTGCTGAGGTGTGTACAGTTTTCTGGTTCGGAACAGTGTTACAACTTTTGAGAAGCAGCCTTTGTATCCATTTTAACCCCCAACAAACTTATTGAAGCTTCGAAATGACTTCTAGATCCTTATTAAAATATGCAACCTCCCACTGCCGGTGAAGATGTGCATACGCCGCCGAATAAGTCGTTGGTATACAATAGAAAGAGGGTTGGAGACAATATAGATCCCTGAGGAACACCAGCGTTGATGGTAAAAGTATTCCAAATATTTAAGGATATGGTGGTTTAGGTTTTGATAAATCCAGAGGAGAATCACTACCTACAACCATAGAATTTCTTGACAATGGAAGAGAACATATTCGATCATCCGAAGAACATCTAGATGACCTGAGGAAATAATTCATTCCGATCTGGAAGAGATCTACACATCCTCATAGAAGCCACTTACTCAAAAGGTAAATTATTCGGATCTTGAGGTGCAGATCCAAAGGAAGATCCACAGGACTATCCATATAGCTCTGCAATCTAGAAGCTACCATGCTGGTTGATCTTGTCATATCTTTTTTTACCGGCCTAGTCTCTACCTGAATACTAATGTTTGTAGGTAGGTAAGGGTTAGGTTACTGATTTGATTTTAGTGAATATGTATGTCTGATATTGCTATTTGCATTGTAGATCCCCAACATAAATGAAAATTGGATAGGGTTGAGGTAAAACATGAAAAAATCACTTCTCAATTTACACTTGAGTTATTTGAGAAAACCTTCCGCTGTGTTCGAAATTTTTTGTATTTTTTCCTATTTCAAAAGAATTAAATATAAATTTCAAAATAATAGAATTGAGTATAAGTCATCTCCTCATGACGCAACTTGGTTGGTGAAACGCGCGTCAAGAAGGGTCATGTAGTTCTGATATGCGGAAGGAGTGTTGGTTCAACATAATTTTTATTTTTCTGATTGATTCGGCCGTTACTTGATGAAGATCTAAAGTAATTTCAAAAACCACACCTCACGATTTGATCTTCACAAACTTCACAAGTGATTTATAAATCACTTGAAGCGATTTATAAATCACTTGAAAAAGCTACCGTGCTAGTGATTTATAAATAAATTGAAAAAGCTACTGTGCTCGTGATTTATAAATCACTTGATAAAGCTACTGTGCTAGAGAAACTTGTAATGTATTTTTCAAAATAAAGTTTGTGAAGATCAAATTGTGAGGTGTAGTTTTTGAAACATAATTTTTATTCAGAATAGTCATTGGTTCCCGAATAATTAAAAGCAATGCTACAGCATAAAATTTTGTCTCAAAAAGTTCTTCTCTTACAATAAATCTTATATTTCCGAAAATAACTCCTATGAAGTTCTTTGAATTTCCAGTAAAAAATATTCCAAATAAAAAATGTTTGCAATAAACAGTTTATCTTGAAAAAATATTAAACCGCAGACCCATTATTTCTCAGGGCAAAACTGTTTTCATAAGCGGTTTTCAAACAGCAGCTATCTAAATATTCATTGTAGTGACGTAAATACTTAGTATCTAACATATTTGCCCGCACGACTTAACTGTAAACAATATTTCTAATGAACACACACGAAGACACTATTTCGATTTGAAAACAAATGTAACCAGCGGCGTACGAAAGCATTTCAAACAACAGAAAATTCGGAAGTAACTTCAGGATGCTTTGTACCTACGGCAAAAAACTACAGAGGGTGATTCGTTAGGACGTTAAAAAAGGTTTCAGTTATTTGAAATACCTACTACGTAGTTTCTTCAGCCCTAAGTAGATTGAAATTATTAGGTCCAGTGGCGTTACAGTGAGACACCACAGTCAACTATATTGAGAGAGAAAAGTATACCACTGTCTTGTTGTTTGTAGTTTTCTGAAATTTTTAGATCAACTTCTTGGACACTATTTGTGTTTGTTTTCTTCATACCTACCTAGCAGCGTTTTCGAAGAAAAAGTCACTTTAACTCATGCAACATAACATAAAAACCAAAAATAAACAATGAGTAAAATGTTAACCTCGTCCGTTATTATACTGTGTCAGAAAAACTGGTCTATTAGGCATTATTATATGCAAAACATTATTGGGTGAAAATCTCGAGGCAGTAGAGCTCGGAGTTTCCTTTTTGTAACTTTCCAAATGGTTTTTGGGCTGGTTTAGGTGTTGTTACAGTTTATGATGAATAAAAAAAATTAAAGGCAGCAAGGTTATGAATATTTGTTATTGATTAGTAAATGAGAATGTGAAATTAGGTATTCTTGATTTTATATTTTAAACGAACATTTCATTGACAGTTGTCAACAAGATGTTCGAATAGATCTTTTGATAATATGTAGTATCATTCACATATAGTTGGGTCGAAAAAAATACACATGCGTCATCAACAAAATACACGATAAATCACATACTTTAATATAATATTCTTTTTTTTTACTTGTAAAAAAAGACAAAACAGTTATAGTTTCGTTTTTCATTAGTTTGTGACTTATACCATATGCTCAAAATGATGACGATGTGTGTTCTTTCCTCTACCCAACTATGAAGTACATATTCGATCAGGTATGTACATGTTCTATTGATATTGTTGATAAAAGTGATGCTGAGTACGGAACCTTCTGGAACATTTTCGCAAAACACTTCATTGGATCTGATATTTTCTTTAAGAGTGTGAAGTTATTTCAGATAGCGGTTGAAAATATCCCTAAATATTTTCGGGAATCGATTATTTGTTGAGCCAAAACATTGAAGAAAACAATAAATGAAGAACTTGGCTAGTGAAAAGCGCATTGGGAAGTAATTTGAAAATTTCTGAAGAATTATTTTTGTATTGAAATGTTTTGCAAAAAAAAATCACAGTACAGATGAAAATATCAGGTTATCATTTTGGAAAATGCGAAATATAAGATTCAAATAATATATACAGCAAACAGAAAGAGAGTCAAAAAAGTGAACTGCTTTCGGTACGCCACTGATCGCCATCGTCCAAAGTTCAACTAGCATCATCTCGTATTTGCACTACAATACAGTTATAACAATAACACTTTATGGGGGCACATTCAAATCAAGAGTCGCGGCTTATGTAAACATAATATCGCCATAGAAATTCGTAGAAGGATAAGCAACAAAAAACCAAATAATGTTATAAAATTTTGTTTTATAACCGTCCGCTTTTTAAAAAAACATATTCGCGGATTCTTATACGAAACCAAAGTCTGTCTAAATCCGCACGACAAGGTTAATCAGAAGCAAACTGACTTTTGTTGGATTATATATATTCGGGGATCTATTTTCATTAAATATAACGAATTTCATTAATAGACCGCACACGGAGCGAAATAATAAAACAGAAATAAAGAGAAAAAGATAACGAGGAAACCAAGAAAAAAAGGACCTACAGGGAAAAGATAAATAGATATACCGAGGAAGAAAGATGAGGGGAAAACAAAATAAGTTCAGAATTATTATTTGCAGCGAATTGAAAATTTATGTTTACTGTTCCAGAAAATTTTGTAAAATAAAAGTTTCTAATCGACATTTGACAATAGTATCTTATTGAAATTTATTTCAAAAACAAGATAGGAAATGATTTCTTAATGTTTCAATTCCATGAGGAAGATAGAAAAATATATAAGGAGGGAAGAAACAAGAGATACAAAGAAAGAAATGGAAAAAAGACAGCAAGAGAAAAAGAAAAAATGGTCAGAAAAAGAGATATCGACAAAAGATTTTGGGAATTCATAGCCACCAAATTTATTTTAAATACGATAATTGAAAAAAAGTATTACCTATTTTTTGCAAAAGTAAATTTTCAAGACAGTCGATGAGACTAAGAGAAAGAATATAAAGAGGGAGATAGATAAAGAGGCAAAATAGAGAATGAAAAAGAAGAATGATATGACCAAAAAAGGGACAGAGAGAGAGAAAGAGAGATATGTCAAAGACCTAGACAAAGCCAGAGAATGAAAGAGATAGAAAAACATGAGATAAAGAGAGCAGCAAGAGAAAAAACAAGGTATCCGGGAACATAAAAGAACTCGAAGAAAGAGAAGACAATGAGCAAAAATATCGAAAACATAGGAAGAGGTCGAGAGTTATACAGATTCGCAGATTTCAGGTAACTATTCCAATAGATTTTTTTCAAATAAAAATGTTTGTTTAACGTTTCTAAAAAAACATGCATTTCGATTCGTAATAACATTCTCAACAACAAATCTTATATCACCTTTCTTCCTAAAGTGGAAAATGAGCGACTT